CTCTCTGCCTTTTAGTTAATTTATATAAGGGTTTGTCTTGTTGATTTTCTCAAAGAACCAACTCTTTGTTTCATTGATTCTTTGTATTGTCTCTTTGTTTTTATTTTATTATTTCCAGCCATCTACTGTTCTTAGGTATGTTTGCTTCTTTTTGTTCTGGAGCTTTTAAGTGTGCTGCTAAGTTGCTAATATGACATTGCTCCAATTTTTTATGTAAACACTTAGTGCCATGAACTTTCCTCTTAGCACTGCTTCCATTGTGTCCCATAGGTTTGGATATGTTGTGCATTTGTTTTCATTGAATTCTAGGAAGTCTTTAATTTCTTTTATTTCTGCTTTGACCCAGTAGTCATTCCGTAGTCAGTTGTTTGGTTTCCATGAGTCTGTAGGCTTTCTGTTATTTGTGTTGTTGAAATCCAGCTTTAATCTATGATGGTCTGGAGGATGCTGGAGGTTATTTCATTTTCTTGTATCTGTTGAGACTTGCCTTGTGACTGAGTATGTGATCAGTTTTGGAGAATGTTCCATGAGGTGCTAAGAAGAAGGTGTACTCTTTTGTTTGGGGGGGGAAGTGTATCTGTTAGTTCCATTTGGTTCATAACATCTATCAGTTCCAGTATTTCTTTATTTAATTCTGTCTGAATGACCTGTCCATTGGTGAAAGTGATATATTGAAGTCTTCCACTATCAATATGTGAGGGTAGATATGTGACTTAAGCGTTCATACTGTTTCCTTTACAAATGTGGTTGCTCTTGCATTCGGGGCATAGATGTTAAGAATTGAAAGATCATCTTTATGGATTTTTCCTTTAATGATTATGAGGTGTCCTTCCCTGTCTCTTTTAATTAGTTTTGGTTTAAAGTCTATTTTGTTAGATAACAGCTTGTTTCTTAGTTCTAAGTTGCTTGGAAAATATTTTTCTGGCCCTTTACTCTGAAGTAACATCTGTCTTTGATGCTGAGGTGTGTTTCTTGTATTCAGCAGAAGGATGGATCTTGTTTCGCATCCATACTGTTAGCCTATGTCTCTTTATTTGGGGAATTGAGTACACTGACAATGACAAATGATTGTTAATTTCCATTATTTTGTTGTAGTTGGTGGTGATGGGAGAAAAAAGAGTTTGTGTGTTTCCCTTCTTTGGATTATGCTTGTGTGAGATTATTTATTTCCTGAGTTTTCATGAATATAGCTAACCACCTAGGCTATGGTTTTCCTTCTAGTACCTTCTATAGGACTAGATTTGTGGATAGATGTTGTTTAAATTTGACTTTATTATAGATTATCTTGTTTTCTCCATCTACGGTGATTGAAAGTTTTGCTGAGTATAGTAATCTGTACTGGCATCCATGGTCTCTTAGAGTCTACAGGACGTATGTTCAGGCCCTTCTGGCTTTTAGACTATCTATTGAGAAACCAAGTTTAGTTCTGATATATCTGACTTTGTATGTTACTTGGCCTTTCTCCTTTGCAGCTTTTAATATTCTTTCTTTGTTCTGTATGTTTAGTGTTTTGATTATTATGTGGCAATGGAACTTTCTTTTCTGATCCAGTCTATTTGGTATCCTACATGTTTCCTGTACCTTTATAGACATGCCCTTCTTTAGGTTAGGAAAATTTTCTTTCATGATTTTGTTGAATATATTTGCTGGGGCTTTGAGCAGGGATTCATCTCCTTCTATTCCTATTGTTCTTAGGTTTGGTCTTTTCATAGTGTCCCAGGTTTCCTGGATGTCTTGTGTTAGGAATTCTTTATTAAATTTAAGATTTTCTTTGAAATAGATGTGTCTGCTTCTTTTACCATATCTTCAATGTCTGAGATTTTCTTTCCATATCTTACATTCTGTTGGCAATGCTTGCATCTGTAGTTCCTGTCCACTTACCTTTGTTTTCCATTTCCAGAATTCCCTCAGTTTATGTTTTCTTTATTGCTTCTATTTCCATTTTCAAGTCTTGAACAATTTTATTAGTTTCCTTCCTCTATTTGTACCCTCCTCCTTGGCTATCTTTAAGGGATGTATTCATTTCTTCCAAATTTTTGGTTGTTTTTTTTTTTTTTGTTTTGTTTTGTTTTGTATTTCTTTAAGAGATTTATTCCTTTCTATCATCTTCATCAAGTTGGTTTTAAGGTCATTTTTCTAGTGCTTCAGCTGTGGGTATTTTCAGGGCTTGCTGAGTAGGGTAACTGGGCTCTTGTGACATATTGCCTTAGCTGTTGTTGATTATGTTGTTACACTGGCTGGCATCTAGGCATCTGGGTTGAGGGTGATTATAGGTCTAGGTGCTGCTTTCTAAGTTTGTCTTTGTTGGATGGTTTCTTTGTTGGATTGTTCTTTGGTTTCTGTTTCCTCTTGGATGGAGTAGCCTGTGGTTCAGTAGAAGGTCTCCATTCAACTTAGAAGCTGGACTTCTGATAGCTTGTGGGTTTCTACTCAAGTTGGGATCTGGAGTTCTGGCTGCCAGTGTGGCCTCTAGTCCAGCCATAGGTCCTCCACTGGAGTTGGGGATCATAATATGGTAACAAGGAGACGAGGGCAGTTGGGTTTTTGCTGGGGGAGCACTGAGGGAGAGGGGGCGGTCTACAAGCAAAGGGCTTACCTGCGAGTCTGGTGGCATGCATGGCCCCTGGTGGGGCTTCCGAGAGAGTCATGGGTCAGGTTATGGTGACATGGAGAGGAGTGGCACTTGGGTGTAGCACCGAGGGAGTGAGGGAGGTCTGCAGACAGAGGGCTTACCTGGGGTTTTGTGTAAGTTTTTTTTTTTAATTCAGAAATTATTTTTTAGAAAAAGATAACAGCTGAGTTCAGTGAGCACGAAGTGTGAGCACAAAGTGTGACCTCGCAGCTTCCACCGTTAGCACTAACACTCTTGTTCCTGGTCACAAACTCCCACTTTTCAAAGCAGATTCTAGAGTCACATGGTTTCATCTGGAATAGTTCAGTCTTACCTCCAAGGTCACACTCATCATTAAGTGGAACACCAACACTACTGTCATGTTCAAATACAATGCTACTGCACTATTACCAAACATAAGCGACATTCACATTCCCCAGCTAGTCATGGATGCTCACTCTTTATTTGGATCACGTTCCCTCCGAACGCATACACTGTCATTATATCTCTTCAGTGTCTGTTAGTCTTCGGCCCCTTCCCTTCCTCAGCTAATATTTCCCCTACAGTCTTAGCTGCAGATAGGGTCATATATTCGGCATTTTCATTGGTTTGGGTTTCTTTTTACCCTATCAGTCTAAATCATTCTCTCATTTTAATGACTAGAAACAAGTTAAGCATCTTTATGTTGCGAACTAAACATGCATGTTTTTGGAAGTCATCCCTGAAACTCCACATATGTCAAAGCAAAAGCACCTCCCTCCCTTTACCTCAGCACCACACATTTATCTACGAAATATTTTGAATCCATCTTCTCACTTTCTGTCAGTCTCTGGAAGATCTGACATGCTTATCTCATTGCACATGTGAGACATTATGGGAAGGTCAAAAGGAACATGTCTGAATGTGGGTCACATGAACCCATTCTCCTGGAACAATACTAGTGGGATGCTCTGACCATCTCTATATCACACAGCATGTATTGTGTGCCCTGGCCAGAATATTCTGAGGAGCTAAAGAGAATGAGAAGGCTATGACCCTACTTTTAAAGAACTTAAACTCTAATCAGGTGTATACCATGGGGGGGGGGAACCTGGTGCAGGGAATTTAAAACACCTGGAGGCAAATGATCATATAGGAGTAGCATAGTATGACCAGATAGCCTGTGCTGAGAGATACCCAGGGAACCAGCAGCAGGTACACAGAAGAGAAAGCAAGTGTGAACAGCACAGAGAATGAGGGAGAGAGGGAAGAAATGTTTAGCTTGCTTCCTGGTCTGCTTACCTTTGAGATCACATCTCTGCATCTTTGGGTGAATGTGTCAGTGGATACTTCATCTTTAGTCCACCCCTTCCTAGATCTCCCTTGTCTACTTCACCTCCCTGTGGCTAACAAGATATTTCCAAGCACTATATTGACACTTGCTCCAAAATCCAAAACTTTTGAGACTTTACATATAAGTGGAAATGTCCACCTCTGATCTCATGTGTTAGATTGCAATTAAAATGGGATACACTAAAAATATTACCTAAAATTTCCTGAAGGCTGTGCATATAAGATATATGAGAAATATAATGTTACATTTAGACTTAGGTAACATCCTTAAAATATTCACATATGTATGTATGTTACCCCCTCACCCAAAAATACCTCAAATCTGAAATGTTCCTGGTTCCCAGCATTTGGGACAAAGGGTGATCCAGAAAATTCGACATCTTGAGGTCCTATGGCCCCTGCAGCTGCAACTATTTCATGTCACTATTACTAAGGACAAGGTCATTATGATTAAATGCATATAGCAGTATCTGCTGCCTAAGGGATGTCATATGTAAATGTTCACCAATAAAAGAAAAGAACAAGATATTTATTACATGTTTTCTGCATTCTGAGACCTATTGATTGCCATAGCCATTAATATTAATGACCACCCTAGAAGAAATAATCACAGTTTCCCGGACGGGGGAAAATGATCCCAGAAAGAAGTAACTTCTTTGACATCACAGGAGAGGTAGTGCATACCAAGAGTCTACCATGCCTAACTCTGCATTCAAAGGCCCTGCTCTAATTTTGGCTCCTCTGCCCATGACACCAGTTTTTAAGTTGTGTCCCGATGACGCTGAAAGAGACGCATGCCCTCCAGGGAATCTCACTTGTGACCTGGATGTCATGTGCTAGAGTCACTGCTCAGAGAGATCCAAAGCCAGGGGCCTCATTCTTTTCCCTTGCTTCACCTCTTCCCTAAGAAGTCATATGCTGTCCCTTAGAGGGTTAGCTGGCTGTAATGGCCTACACCCCAGTGCTGCCCAATCCAGGCTAAAAATGGTAGTAGCAGGATATCAGCCATGCTAATTCCTGGAAGATACTTCAGGCCTAACCTGTGTGTTTCTTGCAGTCATGTTTCGTCTCTATGACTCTGATGAAAATGGACTCCTGGACCAAGTGGTAAGCTTTCACTTTCAATAAAGCCCTACGATTTGAGGAAGAGGAAAGACAACAGAACACAGTGATGGAAGCATCCAAACTCCCCAGTTCTATCCTGACAGGAAATGTGGGTCTGACTAAGGGATGCAGATTATGAGCAAAGTTCCTTCCTGCTGTGTCCAAAGAGACAGCCCATAGAGCATGAACTTCAATTTTCCTTCTTCTGGACCTAAAAGCCTGGAACCACACCATCTTGGGATAGGGAGATATTTTCACATTTTCATCAAATGTAACTTCTCTACACACAGATTTCCCTTGAAATTTTCTTCTGGGACCCAGGGGTCAGGAGAAGGGGGGCAGGGAAGCAACAGGAACAGGGCAAGAGGAGAAGAGGAAAGTTCCTGGCGAGCTTCCGATCTACCCAAGCTTAAGAGCCTTCCCAGTCCTGTCTGTTCTGAACTCTGAACCCCCACCTCAGCCCTTCAGGAGGAGGCAATAACAGGTCAGGATCAGAAAGTGAGAGGAAGGCTAGAGAGGAAGAAAGTCCAAGAAAGAAGGAGGCCCTGGATCCAAGTCTTGTGGTCATGACTGACTGCCCAGGCTTATAAACAGTAAGGCTCTGAAACTGAAGTGTGTATGGCTGGCTGAAACCAGAAAAAGAAAGGAGGGAAAAGAGAGAGGGGGAGGATGGACAGAGGGAAGAAAGGAGAGAGGGACAGAAGGACACAGAGACAGAGGAAATAAATCCTCTAGGCCAATGAGCCATGCCAGCTCTCTCTGTCCTAGTCCCTTTGTGGTCTCTCCAGCATTGTTGCAATGGTGTGGGCTGTGGTCTTTGATGGGACAAACACAGACTCTGGCAGAACACAGCATATTTACTGAGGATCTCCATGATATCTGGTGCTACTCAGAGCACTGGGGATGCCTTATTGTAGCCAAATGGCAAAGTTCTTTTCCTTCTTGTAGCTTTCATTCTAGACCAGGCATCACTAGCAGCATATCTGTGGGTCTGGACATGGTGAGGCACACCTGTCATCTCAGCACTCAGGAAGCAGAGGTGGAAGAATCATTAGTACCTGTCTCAAAATAAAAGGGGCTGGGGTGGGGCTGGGAATATAGCTCAGCGATAGAGCATTTGCCTAGCCTAAGCCCTCGATTCAGTCCTAGCATTGCAAAAAATAAAACTGTAAGTATAAAATACATATATATATACTTGCACGCATATTGGGTAGATGTCTACAAAAAAAAAAAAAGGAAGTAGGAAACGTTGGAGGGAGTTGCTGCCTTCAGAAGGGTTGTCAAGGAAGGCATGCCTGGGGAAGCGACATCAGAACAGAGACTTGGAGGTGATATGGAGGCCAAGAGCCCTCTAGGTAGAGAACACTGAGTGCAAAGACCCTGGTGTGTGCCCAGGATGCTGGGGGACTAAGTGGAAACTGGGCTGGCTAGAGAGGAGCAAGTGAACGAATAGAGTGAAGAACCAAGGAGACCATAGACAGCATGCGTGAGTGGGGGCTGGGCGCCAAGCACGTGAGGTTTTACTGGGAATTGAAAGGGTTTCCTTTAACCTCTAGAGAAATGAGGAGACACCCAAAGTCATGAGAAGTGACATACTTGGATGTCTCAAGCATCGCTCTAGAGACCACATCAAGTAAGCTACAAGCAGGTACACCAGACAGAGACCCTAAGGAAATGATCAGGGCACAAAGCAATGGTAATCTTGGACATGATAGGAGTACTGCAGGTGGTAACTGGTTCAATCCAGAATATATTTTAAAGATAAAGTTGGGGGACAGAAACAAGTCTCAAAAGCATCCGCTGACTTGACTTCACCCCTAGAATCCCTGGTTGGTGAGGTCCCAGCTCCTTTGTGAACACTCTCCATGACTAAGAAGCCACTCCTCCATAATAGCTGTCCCACTGCTGGGAAGGAGCTGGACAGGGCTTCCTGGCTGCATGCCAGGCATGAATTTGCCAGACAACACACAACACACTGCTATGCCCTCCTTCCCCAACCCAGGAGGGAATCAAAATAGGCTAACTGTCCCATTGTCCCTTACATCCCTCCACTTCCTGCCACCCTCTGCCACTAACCAGGACAAGGGAAACACAAACTACACAATGGCCTTGTATTCAAAAGTGCCATCAAACCTTACACAAAGTTTCCCCCAACCCAAGGGGGCCCCATTCTGTATTGTTTCTCATTGGCTGTTTTAAATACACACAATGGACAAATTCCAGCTTGTCAACACCATTACTAAGACACAGCTTACAATAGACCCAGCCCATCCATCTCTTTACATATATAGATGTGGCCTGGCCAGGGTAGAAGAGGACCTACTTCTTCCTGAAGCTAGACCATTCTGTTTCTATTTGCACATGAGTCTGGTGCTCAGTTCCTGAACCCTAGGAGACTCACAAACTTTTCCACTGAAACATTGTACCCACTTCACTGTACTCATTCACTGCCTCTTCCTGTAGTTTTGCTGTGGGCTACTGTTTCCCTTTAAGCAAAGTACTATTTGTAAGAGACTGAAGGATGAGGATCACAAGTTCACATCCGGCATGAGATGGAAGAGGGGATGGAAAGGGAGAGAGTGAGACAGAGACAGAGACACATGCAGAGAGAATATATATCTGTGTCTGGGGTTGCAGAGATGACTCAGGGGCTAAGGATGACTACTGTTCAGTTCCTAGCACTCATGCTTGGTAGCTCACAATCACCTCACTTGCAGCTCCAGAGGATCTGATGGTCTTTTCTGGTCTCTGCAGAAACCTGTACTCACATGTGTACCACACAGACACACACACACACACACAGAATTAAATATAAAATATATCTTAAAAATAAAATAGCTGCTAAGGCTTAGCTTGCTTGACTTAACCCTAAATTCTGCATGATGGAAATAACACTTTCCAGTCTTTCTTTACATTGCCCACACAATCTCCTAAAACAATCTTATTGTGAACACCTTAGGTGGTAATCCATACATGAGATGCTAACTGTAATCCATACTAACTGTAATCCACACATAAGATGCTAACTGACACTGAATACTTCTCCAGCACAGTGTTTCTATGGGTCCCTCTATGCATTGACTCACCAGCATCTGGCACATTGGTAACATTTTCGGTACAGGTGGGTCTTGATGCCAAAGGGGTAATCCATCAGGCAAATAAGGCCTTAAAATTTCCCTATTCACCAAATTCTAGGCTCAGGGTTGACTATAATGCAAAGGAAAGAAGAGATGCCAGAATAAATGTAAATCACAGTGCTTGAGCCAAGACCAACACGGATGTGAACCTGACTCCAAAGGCAGACAGATCCCTGGCTGCTAAGATGTGGGGATGAGAGCAAGTGATAAGAACAGCAAAGAGAGGCCTGTCTTCACCTGCATTTACAGAAGTTATAGAAGAAAAGGAGAGGAGGGAAAGGAAAGGAGAGAGGGAGGGAAAGGAAGGAAGAGGAGGGAGGGAGGGAAGAAAGGAAGGAAGGAAGGAAGGAAGGAAGGAAGGAAGGAAGGAAGGATAAAAACAAGATTCAAGATTCCCTCTGGTTTTCAGGTCAAAGGACAGAATGATGGGGGGGGGGGACTTGGAGTCAGTGCTCCAGGTGCTCTGTGTAGCTCTGGCTTTCACATGCTCTGTAAGTATCTACTGTCCACTGGCCTTTGTGGTCAATACAAAAGAAACCCCCTGCCCTTGTGGGATGCCAGTGCATCGCATCAGCTTTTCCTCATGCCCCGCCCTGCCCACCTGCCCACCAGGTTTGATTTGGAGTCTTGCTCTTATTGTAATTAAAACCAAAACAAACAACAAACTTTGGGTTTCTCCCTTTGATGTTTTCTCTCCTGATATTTTCTAGGAGATGGATCAGATTGTGAACCAAATGCTGCATATTGCCCAGTACCTGGAGTGGGATCCCACTGAGCTCAGGCCTGTGAGTTTCTGTAAACGTAGTTCACTCCATAGAGAGCCTCCTGGAGAGAGTGGGGCACACCTGGGATGTGGGTGCAATGGTTGGATGCTTGCTGTGTGGTGCCCTCAGACCACCTTCCCAGCAGCTTCTTTGCAGCCCTGCACTTTGCCCTCCCATTTCTCCAACAGGAAAAATGCTTAAAGCAGCAGAAGGAAGTCTAGACATGGTAGAAACCGCAGCTTCCGCACCCTTCCTGCCAGGGGCACTTTTATAACAGGAATCCATAAATTAGAGCCGAAACAATTTGGGGGAAATTGTCAATCATCAGCTGCTAATGTTAGCTGCGCTGGTGCATGCTTCATACCAGGCATTAGACTCAACACTCTTGATGGGTTTCCTCACATCCTTGCTACAATGCTGTGAATACAGCAGTATTATTTCCGTTTTAAGAGAAGCAACCCAGAGCACAGAGAGCTAGAGTGAGCCACCTAAGGTCGGGGCCGGGCAGAGCTGGACATAGAACCCTGGTGTCCACACTGCTCGGTCCTTTGCCACTTTACTCACTCTGAATAAGAGGGGAAATGGAAGAAACAGAAAATATAACACAGGGCCAAAGGGAAAGCAGAGGCATCCAGAAATGAACAATTTTCCTTTGGATCCTACAGATACTGAAGGAGATGTTGCAAGGAATGGACTACGACAAGGATGGCTTTGTGTCTCTACAGGAGTGGGTCCATGGGGGGATGACCACCATCCCATTGCTGGTCCTCCTGGGAATGGATGACTCTGTAAGTCAGTAATCTTATGTTCAATAGCTCTGGATTCCGTATTGTTGCTAGTGTCTGCTCCAGGCTTCCTGATGGGCAAGCCATGCGCTCCAGGCTGGTTCCAGTATGCTCTGTATTTTCATCCCTTTTGCTTGTTCATGCCCCAAGTATATTCTCTCACCTGGAAAACCTTTGATGTACTATTATTAAGGGATTCTTTTTGTGTGCACACTGTAAGAGAACACCAAGCACTTACCTGCAAGACACATACTCCACCAGGCAAAAGAAATGTAAAGGAGAATCTCATGTTTTCACCAAGTTAGCTTTTAAGATGCTAGGAGAAGGACCAGTAAGATGGCTCTGCACATAAAGGCACTAACCACCAAGACTGATAACCCGAGTTCAATTCTCAGAACCCGCATGGCAAAAGAAAAGAATTAACTTCCTTCTCATCTGACCTCTACCTGCTCACCCCCTTGTAGCGCCTGTGCTACAATCTGTTCCACAAATCAGGCAAAGGCCTAGAGATTGAAATAAAGACAAGACAGCGGGTCATTCGCTCAATGGCAATGTCGGAACGCCAAATGCCAAATGCCGTTTATTGAGAGGAAAGAATGGGCTTAAATACCGACTTATAGCACAGTGGAAAATTACAGGAAATTTTAGGCTTAGCTCCTCTTGTCACGAGGTGTGTGTTGTCACGAGGTGTGTGTTGTCACGGGGTGTGTGTTGTCATGGGAAGAGTACCAACAAAAGCCTTGGGGCAAAGAGTTCTGGCCAACAGCTTCAGGCTAGCTCAAGGCACCTCAGGGGTTCATGCAGGGCCCTACACCCCCTCTGCCAATAGGTACGTGTAATTTTAAATCTTAAAAGTAAAAGAATTGTCGAAGGAAGGAAGGGAGTGGGAGAATGTGATCTGCTGTAGGGGCTGTCGTGTATGGACTCTGGTTTAGCAATCAAAACAGAAAAGGTAGGTCTTTTTATCCCAATTTGTATAGGTGGAAAACTGTGCAGAAGTAGATTATACCTTGATCCAAATTCCCCACACTTTCCAACACCATACACTTTAGACAGAGCATTTGGAGGGTATTTGACTTATCCCTAAAAAATAAGCAAGATTTTGAGACCTTACTCTGTTTTCTTTTTTGCAGGTGTGTGTGTGTGTGTGTGTGTGTGTGTGTGTGTGTGTGTGTGTGTGTGAAGTCAAAAGCCTCACGCATGCTGGGTGAGCACTCTGCCACTGGTCTGTATCTCCATCTTATTTTGCTTTTTATTCTTGAGTCAAAGTCTCGCTCATTTGCACAGACTGGCCTTGTATCCCAGGATTTCTCTGTAGCCCAGGCAGGTCTTGTTGCTTGAACCTGTGGTCCTTCTGATTCAGTGTCCAGAGTAGCTAGGTTTACAGGCCTGCATACTGGGCCTGGCTTCGTAACATGTTCTGACTCTTGGGCTTGTACATGATGTTGCTGGAAGAGTCCTCTGTGATTCTTGTTTTATCCCATTTATTATACAAACGGAGGCTGGTGGGGTAAAGACCGGCCAAAGGCACAAACCTAAGCAGAGGCCCAGCCAGGACACTCAGGTACATTGGGACCTTCATGTAGTGGCCTCTCCCTGAGGGGCTATACATACAAGAAGCCACATGAGCTCAAAGAAGCGATGTAGGCTGCTGCCGATGCTCTCTTGGCTCTGGAGCAAGGGGGAAGCTAGGCTTGGTTGCTGTCCTACTACACTGTTGTTGCTTTGTTTTGTTCTCATTGAGGGGGAAAAAACAGGCACCTTTTGAGCACAAGGAACCAATTTCTGTTCCCCTCCCTCCATTGACTGTGCTAATGGTCAATGAACCCCAACATCTTGCATGGAAAGCACCCACATTTCTAGAGGCAGCAGGTAAAGCCTGTGTATTTCTTCAATATCCTGTCCAATGTCCCCTTCAAATACCAAATCAGCCTTGAGCAAAACTAGAATTCACATTACAAAACATGGAAAACAGAAAATAAATGTAAATTTCAATGATATTAATCAAAATCTTTCTAAGTCTGTCAGAACTGTGTGCTAAACAAGTTTTTTTAGTGAATGATATCCAGCCTCTAGAGAAAGCCCCACCAATGTCTTGAATGGCCTGCTGCTTTCTTGCCATTTTCACTCACAGATATGACCCCTGGGAATGCTGGGCTCTCTACACAGAGCATGCAAACCATCTGTCTCCTGGAGCAATGGGGCAAAACCTGGCCAGAAATGAACAGGCCACACGATGGTGCTATAACCCAAGCAGAAGCTTGACTTGAGTCCCCCTCAGCCCATTTGCTTCTTAGAGCTGAGGGTTTGATGGGGAGGAGAGGGAGTTTCCAGATAAAATGCTGGTTCTCTAGCTGGTGAATAAGCAGGTCTGCTGACAGAGAGCTACACTTCCTTCTGTCCAGGAAATCCTTGTAGATTGGTGGAGAAAAGTGCACAGGCTACTGTCACCTGTGGCACTGGCCTGGTTACAGAATTCCTGAGACTGCTCGATTTTGTCTTTTTATCCGTATACTAGTAATACATTTACCCTCTTCCACTACTTTTGTGCCCCCTAGTATTCAGTACAGATTTGGATCTGGCAGGGGACTGGAGTAACATTCATCATCATCACCATCACCATTATAAGCCCTTGGAGCACTATCTGCCAAAGGGATGAATACATTGGTCTTTTTTATGAATTGGATGCTGAACTGCAGGCCTCTGGGTAAAGGGACCTTAACTCGGTACAACTCAGGTTTTAAAGAGGGTTTTGAAGTAGTAAGAAGTCAAAAATTGGGGTAACAGATAAGAATTTGACAAAGAGGGCTGGAGAGATTGCTCAGAGGTTAAGAGCAATGGCTGCTCTTGCAGAGGACCTGAGTTCAATTCCCAGCAACCACATGGTGGCTTCCAACCATCTGTATTGAGATGTGGTGCCCTCTCTGGACTGCAAGAATACATGCAGACAGAACACTGCATACATACTAAATAAATAAATCTTTTTTTGAAAAAAGAGTTTGACAAAGAATATGGACTACAAAGATCATAATCTAAGCTCACAATGTAGGGCTGACCACAGCAAGCAGTACAAAGGCATGGACACCCAGATAGATGTAAGGACTGGACTCCACATTCCCGATCACACATCCAAGGATAACTTTCCAGCCATAGTTTTCACCGTCCTTCAGGCTGCACCCAGTGCTGCTCACAATGGAGAACCTTCAGTAGGCAGGATGCCCCCAAAGCCAGACTGAAGCCAGGTGGTGTGCCAGGGACTGGAACATGGATGACCTGTCGTGCCAGGGAAAATGTGACCATGTGAAGCATTGCTCATACATGTTGTGACTGAGAATAGTTTTGTCCCTGAGCTACTCGGGAGAAAAACATTTGTTATCTCCATAGCTCTCACTTAGTATTGTTGTTGCTTTAGTTGGGTGTATTTATTTACATGGAATGGGGCTTTCTACACACATGGTGACATGGTATACTTGTAGAGGTCAGAGAACAACAGCCTTTAAGAGTTACCCTTTCTCTGCATTGTGTCAAATGAAGGCTATCAAGTGCCTCAACCCACTGAGCCATCTCACCAGCCCTTACTTCAGTATTTTTATCTGTTTGCAGAAAGTTGGTATAAGCACACACAGGGTGCACGCGCACGTGTGTGTGTGTGTGTGTGTATGTATGTGTGTGTGTGTGTGTGTGTGTGTAGGCTCACACACATAAAATAAAATAAATCTAAATAATTTTACGTTGGTATAAGTACATTATTAGCATTATTAGCTGGGCGGTGGTGGCAGCGCATGCATTTAGTCCCAGCACTGGGGAGGCAGAAGAAGGCAGATCTCTGAGTTTGAGGCCAACCTGGACTACAAAGTGAGTTCCAGGACAGCCAGAGCTACACAGAGAAACCCTGTCTCAAAAAAACATGTTATTTTTACTAAGCCATTTGTTCTTAATTATAATGCTAGTCTATACTCACAAGAGAAATTTCAGAAGATACTAAAGAAATCAGAAACTAGAGGGGGAAAGCCAAATACCCTGCTCCAGATATAGCTAACTTGGGTTAACAGGTGCATGAAATCTTCTACCATTATATCTTCAAATACCTTTTATTTGTTTGTTTGCTTGCTTGTCTATTTGTTTTTTGAGGCAGAGTCTTTCTAAAAAGCCCTGGCTGTCCTGGAACTCACTCTGTAGACCAGGCTGGCCTCAAACTCAGAGAGGTCCATCTGCCTCTGCTTTCAATGCTGGGATTAAAGGCATGTGCCACCACAACAGCTTCCCATTAAATGTCTTATTATTTACAACTGAAATCATAATACAGTATCAAATTTGTATTTTGATTTTTTTATTATATCATGATCAAATTCCTATGCCACTGGATGCTTTTATAAATATCTCTTTGATAGCTACCTAGTATTAATTATATGGCTGTACTACAATTTTAGTGATTTGGAGATCATTAGGATATTTCTAGCTCTTCACTATTTGAAATAATGTTGTGTCTGACTAGCACAGAAATGCTCAACTGTTTTCTCAAAAGTTATCTCTTTAGACTAGAGTCCAAGGAAGGATGCTGGCAACTCAAAGATTGCAATCATTAAAGACTCTTTAGATAGACAGGTGAGGTAGGTAGGTAGGTAGATAGATAGATAGATAGATAGATAGATAGATATGTATATACATACATACATACATACATACATACATACATACATACATACATAGGCAGATAGAGGGATAGGCAGGTAGTCAGGTAAACAGACAGGCAGGCAGGCAGACAGACAGACAGACAAAAAGATAGGCAGATAGACAAACAGATAAATAAGCAGGTATATAGACAGACAGGCAGATAAATGATAGATAGCAGATAAGTAGGGAAATAGGCAGGCAGACAGACAGACATATCAAGTTGCTCTTCCCTTTATACTTTGGGCATCTAGGTAGGAGAGGGCTTATTTAGCTCCTCCCCCCCTTCATTCAGATGCAGTCTCCCTTTGCATGTGCTAATTTTAGAAAACACACACTAAGAATTTGTTAATGAATCTGAGTAACTTATCTTCCAAGTTTGAGAAGAGAACATTTCTTAGAGACAATAAGCAGCAGCATGAGGCAGCCTCTGGCTTCTGAGTGAGGTACCAGCTCCATGTCTCACATCCCTTACCTCTACAGGGCTCCAAAGGGGATGGGAGGCATGCCTGGACTCTGAAGCATTTCAAGAAGCCCACTTACTGCAACTTCTGCCACATCATGCTGATGGGTGTTCGGAAGCAAGGCCTGTGCTGCATTTGTGAGTAAATGTCCCCCAAGCCTATCTGTCCTCTTGGGTTGTCTGCTTTGCACTCAGTAGTTGAACATTCCAGGGAAAGGCTAGTCATTTGTTTCCCAGGGGTAAGGTCACCTCTAATATTTCAACAGCAGGGCCGCTGTGCCCTGCTTTGGGTCTAGCTGAGTCAAATGGACAAGATGTTTGGTGTTGCTGGAGTCCCAGACCACTGGTCTTCTAGAAAAAAAAAAAAATGTAAAAGTTCTTACAGAAGTTTAAAAGCACCTCATACTAATTGCAATTGTGTTTCCAGCCAATGTTCATTTCATGTGTGTTTAGAGGCGCTTTCTAATTAGTTAAGAACATGCTCTATATTCTAGAAGTGCAATGGAAGATAATATTGTATGTTTACTTCATTTTGTAGTCTGTTTAGTAAAACTGGAGGGGAAAGCAGAAATATAATCACAAATGAGGGATTATATCAGTACTAAGAAAGTGAACACAGAAAGAAATGGAGGGAGAGGGAGAGGAAGAGGTGATTTGGGAGAGGGGGGCAAAGAGCAAGAGGAGATGAATGGGGCTAAAGCCAGGGGCTTCAGAGGAGCCAGAGAATGGGGTACACTGAGCCTGCTAGCCACCTCATGGCCGGATAGCAGACACCAACTGGAACCCAAGGAGGGGGCAGCCTGAAGAATAGGTCCACCCATTCAAACATCAGCTTATCAACATATTCTCATTCCTGTTAAGTGTGAGACCTCTGGTCCTTGGCTATTTGCATAATCACAGTTACAACAACAACAACAAATTATGGAATACTCAATCTGACTGTGCACTTGGTGCTGCACACAAATGCCTCACTTAATACTGCAAAAATCCCTGCCCAGGAAAGAGAAAGATAAGCTACCGTGTGCACATCAACAGAGGATCCTGAATTTCTTATTTCCTTCTCTCTCTCTCTCTCTCTCTCTCTCTCTCTCTCTCTCTCTCTCTCTCTCTCTGTGTGTGTGTGTGTGTGTGTGTGTGTGTGTGTGTGTGTGTGTGTGAGTGAGTGTGTGTGTGTGTGTGCTTGGCCTTTGGTTTTGAGACAGGGTTTCTCTGTATAACAGCTCTGACTATCCTGGAACTCACTTTGTAGACCAGGATGGCCTCGAACTCACAGAGATCTGCCTGCCTCTGCCTCCTGAGTGATGAGATCAGAGGCATGCAACACCACTTCCCAGTTGGTCCTGAATTTCTAAAGGGCAAAACACTTACTCAAGATGGTGTGGGTTGTGCCCAATTGCATCCATCAGCCCAGTGGCCACAGCCTTTCTGTTCACTCACAGGCACCCTGACATACAATGCTGGGGATCTATGTTTCACACTGCTCCTTCTGAGGTCACTTTTCTGCACGGTCACTGCCATCAGAGGAAGGTAGTGTGAAGAACTGAGAGGTGGCTGCAGGCTGCTCAGAGAACAACAGCACAGTGTTAGATTTCCTCTGGGCCAGGCCAACTCTATACACCTCTTCCTTGCTGACCACCCAGAAGGAGAAACAAGCCTTCACTGAAGTATGTGCACCGGGGAAGGGAGTCTGGATCATTCCATGGTGGCATTCATAGCACTGTCCTTTTTCTTTTTTCCAGACTGTAAATATACTGTCCACCAACGCTGTGTTTCCAAAAACATTCCTGGATGCGTGAAAACATACTCCAAAGCCAAAAGGAGTGGCGAGGTTGGTGATACCTATTGGCTCTTTCTACTGCATGTTGCCTCGGGGACAACATGGCCATCATCACAGATTCCTAGGCAGGAAGGGGATTTGAGAGATTTCTCTAGTTCCTTCTCTGCCTCAAAGACCACCCCTAGGCCATCCCACTCATCCATCAATCCATTCAGCATCTCCCTGAGGCCCACTGCATGCCAGGTGCTATGCCAGGACATCCATAGGTTATGAGAAATGGTATCCAATCCACTCAAATGCTGCCCAGGCTATGGAGACAGATGGACATGTGAGCATAGTGCAAATACATAGTCGTGACGTGAGTGCTGTTATAATCTGGCCATGCCGAAGTGCAGCTCAGGCTTGAAAGAAAAAGTTTGCAAAGGAAGTGGCACTTGCTTTGTTCTTGGAACGTGGGGAGCTTCATAGGGCATGAAAGAGGGCAGAGCATTCTAGCAGAAGGGAGCTCCAGTATGCAAGCATGGAGACATGGCCTGGACTTGGTTTGGAATAGCTGGGTAGGAAGATGATTACAGGGGAGAACAAGGAGCTGTGAGCACAAGGTGATGAGGCCCTACCTAGAGGACAGTTTGGGAAACCCGCTCCGGATTAGAAAGCAATCAAATGTCGGGGAGAAGCTTCAGGCATGAAGAAATGGTGAACTGCTAAATACATGACTTTCTGAGGCTGGTATAGGAGAGAAGCAGGGGGGGGGAGCATTTTTCCAGCAGTCATGGCAGAAGGTAGCACTGCCCCAAAGCAGAGCAGATTGGATCTGTTTCCATCCACCCTTTAGGACTGGTTGTAACAAAGGCAGAGCAGGCAAAGGAAGGAAGGGAGGAAGGAAGGAAGGAAGGAAGGAAGGAAGGAAGGAAGAGAAGGAAGGAAGGAAGGAAGGAAGGAAGGAAGGAAGGAAGGAAGGAAGGAAGGAAGGAAGGAAGGAGTGTGAAAGGCAGCTGAGAGGCACAGCTCCAGGTAGATACACAGGAAGAGGTGGGCAATGGCTCCCAGGGTCTTCTAACCAGTGGGTGGTGTCATTTGCTGAGCCTTACCCTGGAATTAGATTACCCTTGAAACTGGGGAAGACCATCTGCATTGCTGCAGGGGAGATGTAGCTGAGGAATGAGAGAGGGTGAGAAGGTGGGATGGCCCGCAGCCCACCCACAGAAGGCCCCCTGGGGGAAGGCTCCTCAGAGGACTCCTCATATGCATGCCCCGCGACCACTGCATGACCTCTTGTCTCCTCTTTCCACACCACTCCTCATCCACACCTGTCCATGCCTGCCTTCCATCCGAACACACAGTGGGCCTCCTATGCCTGGAGAAGCCAGTGACTGGAGCGCCAGGAGAGCACACCCTGTGAGCCTGCAGGGACAGCACAAGTCTCTTACCACTTCTTCAGACAACAGACGGAGGGGGGCAACACTGGACTGAGACAGCCACCCTGTCAAAAGACCCAGCTGTGGGTCCCTGTGTGACTAGTCACCACCCTTGGAACCTAATGCCAGTCTCTTACCTCTCTGAAGCCTCAACTGTCCCTCTGCAAAATGGAAACAGTAATCTCAGCGCATATTCAGTGTGGCCGTGTAGGTGACAGATTCACAAAGTGACTTCTTTGTACCTTCAGTGATGCAGCTGGAGGTGGGAAGACACAAGCCAAGTGTGGCACATCTTTTGGATAGTGTCACACAACTATGAAGTAATTTAAGATATGTGCTCTTGTGTAATGCAAATAGGATAATACCACGCAGACATTTTCCAAGTTTCTAATATAGTTTTTGAAGCCGAGCACTTCAAGATATGTGCCCCTTTTTCACATCTTTTCTCTTCTGTAGTTCAGGGCACCTTGGGGGAAAGTCCTGAGTTCTGTAGGACTCCAGGGAGAGAGATCTGAGAACAGAGGCTCCCAAGCAGTGGGTCAGAGGTTCCCATTTTGCTAGAGACATGCTGGCGGCATTTCCCTCCCAGGTATTTGCTCCATCCAGATGGTCAGGGAATGTGTGTGAAAGGACCCAATCCCAGAGACTCGTTTATTGGGAGCGTGGGCTGAGTGTTAGGACCTGTAGGGAACCCCCAGGTGAGTGTAATAGACAGCTGAGCGTGAGGGGAAGTGCAGCAGGGAAGACCGCACCTTTTCACTGCATTCTCCCAGAATCCCAGAGGTGCCTCATGCTAGTGCCTAAAGACTCAGAGAGGTTCCGAAAGCCACCAAAGGCACTCTGCTGTGAGGTGAAAAATGGGTGACTCCCATAGATTCTGTCTGCACCCCAGCCCTCTGGCTTCCCCTGTACCACACTGCCTCCCAGAAAAGGACCCCCATGAAGACCTGGCTAGCCAGTGAGTTCTACAAGGCAAAGGGACAGTAGGAGAGATGCTTGCCTGCCGGGGTGAGAGCTGGTACAGGCGTTTAATCTGCTTTGTTTAGCACGGTGGCCAGGCAGGGAGGAACTCTGCATCCAAAGATCTTCCACTACTGAGGAAACAGGGCCCTCTGGGCTCCTCGCCCCTCCCAGTTCTTTGCACCCTGGGCCCAGGGGCATGGTTCCACAGCTTTCCCTGGTATCCTTCCCTTCCCTCCCACAGGTGATGCAGCACGCGTGGGTGGAAGGGAACTCCTCCGTCAAGTGTGACCGGTGCCACAAAAGTATCAAGTGCTACCAGAGTGTCACCGCGCGGCATTGCGTGTGGTGCCAGATGACGGTGGGTCAGTGCCCAGGGCGGCCCAACTTCTTTTCAGTGTGGGATTTGTTCGAGCTATATATAGCCTGGATCAGTGAGCACCCCTCCAGAGGGCAAGTGTAGAGCGAAGGAATAAGGCAAAGAGGGACCCAGAACCCCGTTTTTGCCTCTCAGCCTCCAATGACTCCTCAGGTTGCCCAGAGAGAGGGGCTGCTGAAGAAGTCGGCTAACCTACTGCCTACATGACCAGCCCCTGGGAGCGGCAGGCTAGCCTGAGAACTCTCCTTTGCCTGAGGTTGGGGTACCTGCAGACTGCAGCAAGGATTAGATACTAGAAAGCTCACTCTCCACACATTAGAGTTAAAACTTGGCTCAAAGGCACGTTCCTCTCAGTAGCACCCTGCCTGGCCCAGAGGCCTGAGTCCAGAGCTTTCTGAACATGACAGGTGCCATGGGGCTACCCAACCTGCATCCCAAAGCTAATTGTGGGCAGTGTCTTTTGCTCCCTGGCTAGGCAACAGTCCTAAAGAGGAGGCTTGCCCAAGCCACACAAAGGGAACACAAAATGGTTCAGTTGACTCCATACTCCAGCCTCCCATGGTTTTATTCTCAGAGCCAGCCTTCCTTCTGAGTGTATAATCCAGGGGCATGCATGTAGAATCCACACAGAGGGCCACACTTGGAGGGTAGCTCTTGGTCTCATTTCTATGACCCTGGCAGACATACCACATGTTCACACACATACTCAACAATCCCTTCAAAGCCAAAGCTGGCAGTGCTCCAAGACTCGGGGACACTAGACAGCGTGCTTCCCCAAAAAACCTCTGCACCCACCTTCCTGATGTTTCTTCAGTCACTTCTGCTCATCCTCATCTCCATTTTTTCCCCCAGTTTCACCGCAAATGTGAATTATCGACGGTGTGTGATGGTGGAGAACTCAAAGACCACATTTTGCTGCCTACCGCCATATGCCCCATCACCCGAGTAAGTGGTCCTGCCCCTACCAGGGCTCTGGCTTTTCTAGACTCCAGAGCTTTGCAATCCTCAGTGTTTCTCCAGCAGTCCCTAGGGCTTATGCTTTTAGTGTTGAAAAGAAGTCAGTGCTGCCCCAGACAAACTGAGCCAGAACACTCTGACACAGCAGCTTCTGACAGCCACCTCCGCGTGCTCGGAGCGTCCCCTCTGAGCATCTTTCAGGCAGAGCCCACCTGCCCCTGGCCACGTTTCTTGGCCTTCTTCGTCCCTGCCAGGCCCTCTCCTGTGTTCACACATGGATCAGCTCTCTCAAGGACTCCCACCCGAGTCGCTGACATCTATAATGAGATCTGATCTTCTAGCATGCAGGCATACATGCAGGCAGAGCACTCAACTATAAAAATAAATAGATAGATATACAAATAAATTAATAAAATAATAAAAAAATAGGTGCAGGCATGCTTCATTATTCTCTTGATAAATAGTTTGAAGAACAGGTAAAGCCAGAGGCAGCATTCACACACACAGACACACACACACACACACATACACACACACAAAAGCACACACACACACACACACACACACACAAGCACACACACAGTATCACACCATGCAATCTACTAGACAGACTTCAATAGAATGAACTTTGAAACAAGAAAGTAGAACAAGCAAAGAGAGGAGCAGTAGCCACACCATGGTGTCAAGTCCTGCTGAGCAGGGAAAATGAGGGTAAGGCCTGCTTTTGAAGCCCACAGCCAGCTACATTTCTGCTATTTCAATCCCTACCATGTCTTTACCATGTCCTGAGGTGACAGTCACCACAGGTGATGTAATCACGGGTTACATCATCACAGGGGCCTGCAGAAGCCTAGAGAAACTTATGGGGTGTATTCGCTTCTGAAACCTGAAGTCCCACTGTGCAAACCGTTTTCTACCTGTCTGAGCTCTTTGTTGCTGACAGCCATTTCTTTTAATGCCTTGATCTTCTCTTGTCCTTGTAGTAGGCTTCGTTTTCTCTTCAAAGGTTACTTGTGTTCTCTCTCACAGGACAGGCAAGGAGGGAAGTCCGACAGCAGCGCGGCCCTCAAGGGTGAACTTGTAACGCAGGTACCTCATGAATGAATATTCCAACCGCTCGTTCTAAAGGAGTCCAAAGGCTGGGGCAGGGAGCGGGGTTTGGGTTCTAAAGACATGTGTCTCAGCATTTGCTTTCTCATCCCAACAAATTCTGTCAAGGGGGACATTTACCCAGGCCTCTGGGGTTGACCTTGATTGCTACACTGTAGACAAATGGTGAGCACGGTGATTGGCTGATGCCATTGATGGTCTAATTGGCTTTGCCACCTCTTTAAGAGAAATTTACATGAAGCTACAACATGTTTGGGGTAAAATCCAGCAATGGGTTTTCTGTGGTTGTACAACTCTCTCTAGAACACAGTCTACCAAAAACAAATGAACAGGATCCAAAGGTTCTTGATCCTTAAGTGTGTATTTAAGACCTCATTTTTTTTTTCACTAAGCATCACCGGTGAATATTTTTTTTTTTTTCATGTTCTCCATGAAATTCTGAGGAATGCAGAAAAGGCATCCTGATGAAGTACAAAGAATCACAGAACAGGAAATAGAAAAGTTGGGTCTTATCCTATGCCTCTGAGTTTCTGTCTCCTTGTTTTAAGAGTGTGTTTAGCATGCCCTGCAACTGCCTGCCTCCCACAGTGCTATAGACTGAGACTATGGAGATAGTGTGTTTTGGAATTACAAAATGGACTGAGATTGAAGGTGCAAAATAAAATATTGTGGATCATCAACAGATGAGAATGCTCTAGACACTCAAGGGGGGGGCTCTAGAAACCAAGAGTCTAGACACCACAAAGCAAGGGTCTAGACACCTAGAAAAGAAAGCTTAGGCACCTAGAAGAGAATATACATACATACACACACACACACACACACACACACACACACACACACACACACGCATGCACGCACACATGCATTGACAGCAAGAGACATAAGTTGCCCCACACTGGCATCCATTTGATTGGCAGGTCCCATGTAGTCTGGGCTATCAAGGACTTTGAATATCATCCCCCAGACTTAAGGACTTACTCCCCCAGCTCCAAGATGCTTCTGAGTATCACACAATTACCCTAGAAGACAAGAGAAACCTTTGAAGTCCATAAATAACAATAAATGCACTTTGTAAACCTGTCGTGGGATGACAGATGGCTGTGAAGTTTAAAACTAACAAATGAAGGCACTAAATATTGAATATGAAGCCAAGCTGTATCTCTGTGTGGGAATATAATTCAGCTGAATCCACAAAATTTACCAAGTTCCCACTCCTGTGTCAGGCACCATGGAGCCCATGGAAGCTCCACTCTGCTCCTTGTCTTTTCTAATCTACCTGATGACTTGAGATCTTGCCCATAACATGAAAGACAAAAATAAATGCAAAGAGACGAATATAAACACTCCCAGGGATACTGCACATTTCACATTGCAATAGTTTTAGTTTCAGTGGTTGAGAGCAATGCCATGGCTCTGGAACTGGGTCCTGGGTTGTTCTGGATTTCTTCAAGAAGTTACAAAGAAGAGAGCATTCCAAACCATGGGACAAGAGTAAATGGAGTGAGCATATGCATAGTTAGACACACTCACTGGAGGCAGGCAGCAGGCTTCTGAGCCTGTCACTTGGGGAATGGGAGGAATGAGGAGAGAATAAAAGAAAGGGGTGAGATTGTGAAGGCCTTGCTTTGGATTTGATCCTGAGAACAACAGGTGTCATTAGCAGGGGTGGCATGTTTGATGTAGAATCCCTGAAAGGAACTGGAGTGGGATGTAGAGCATACAGCTGGGGGTAGGAATGGTCTCAACAGCATGGAACCATGATGGCTACAAGGGAAATTCTAGGGAAGGACTTGGAAGGCCAGGATCTCTCCCTGGATGCCCAGTTGAGTAACCACACCTTAGCAGGAGTGGCACACCAGGCAGGAGGACCGGCTTTATGGGACACACACTCTGTCTTGGGCATGTTGGTGTGGTAGTAATGGCGAGGCACCCACTGGAGAGTGACAAATGCGAGATTTGGAGGAAATGGAACCAGGGTGTGTGGACAGGGAAGATGCTGGGACCTGAGTGCTCATGGGCATCCTTTCATTGGTGCGTGTGACTTGGTGGATGTACCCTCACTGTGTCCCCCTCACAAATTCTGACCTTGTGCCATGGGCATAATGCCACAGGGTTGTGTAATTTGGAGCTGGTGCCGGTGCCCCATCTCTAATCCCAGCCTCAGCTCTCATTGCCATTAAGCCCCTTGAAAGTCTCTCAAGCTGAAGCCGGGTGTTCTCTCCCTCAGGAAGTTCAGACAGCAAATAGCCCCACCTTTCCCATCCCTGCCTGAGCCTGCTCGCCACTCACCCTCCGAAGCTGTATCTGATAATACTCATTTCTTTTTTCTTCTTGTCTTTTAAGTATAAGATCATCCCTAGCCCAGGAACTCACCCCTTGCTGGTCTTGGTGAACCCCAAAAGTGGAGGGAGACAAGGAGAAAGGTATGTCCTCTTTTCCTTCATAATAGAAAGACAGCCAGGCATAGGGGCGCAGAGGCAGACTGAGCTTTTTAAGTTCAAGACCAGCCTGGTGTACAAATGGAGTTCCAGGACAGCCAGGATTGTTACACAGAGAAACCCTGTCTCGAAAAAAATAACAACAACAAACTAGAAATGCTGAAACAACGTGATGTGAACCCCTTCCTCCCCCAACAAAGTAGACTGTCCGGTCAAGGAAGCCTGGGCTCATGGCCACTTACCACTTCTTCCCCTAGCCCCAGTGAGTTAATTCCCCAGGCCTCAGTTTCCTCTTCTATGACACCTTTCACAGTTACCTTAAGGAAGAACAGATCTAGTGCTTAGCTGGGACCTGCCACATGAGCCCCTGTGAAGGCTGCCAGAGTCGAGTTCTGAGGGGTGCGTCCCTTCCTGCCCCACCCCAGGTCTTTTTTTGGGTTTAAAAGACTTGGTGAGACTCACCTGATTGGAGCCTCCTGGCCTATAGCTCACCCCACCTTATCTGAGGGAACTGCAGGGTTTGGTGTAAGCTCATCAGAGCGGAGGAGAACTGGGACAGGCAGGACCGCACTGCCTCCCAGGCCAGCTCAGTCATCCATAAGCAGATGGGTGAAGAGCAGGAATCCAGGTTTAGAAAAACAACATTAGGGAGGGCTCAAGCATGGACCATGACATCCCATCTCTGTCCAAGCAGCAAGATGCCTCCTGCGCGAACCTAGTGGTCCCAAGCTAGAGCCCGGAACCCAAGCCCAGACTTAGTCCCTAGTCCTGGCTCAGTTTTCCAGCCCCACCTCCTGCATGAACGCTTATGAGGGTGCCAGGCTCTCTCCCTGGGGCCCAGTCTACAAAAGGCAGGCTCTTCCTACCCAAACCACACCGAATATCCAGAGGTCTCCAACAGGGAGGGCGCTGGAAAACAACAGTCCCGCTCTCTGGGTTTCCCTACCATAACTGCTGCAGTAAGCGGTTCCTGGGGTGGGGCTGGAGGCAGATGCTGGGCGGCTTTGGGCCAGAGGTAAGGATGTGGGTATGCCAGGTGCACTGGGGTATTGGGGTCTTCATGCAGTATTTCCCCTCTTAGGTTCAAGCTTCACAGACAGGACCAAAGGTATTTGCCCCCAGGGGGCTTCTGCTGTACCTGTTTCCTTCTCATCACCCCTCTTTCCCTCCATAGAATTCTTCGGAAATTCCACTACCTGCTCAACCCCAAACAAGTATTCAACCTGGACAACGGGGGGCCTGCTCCAGGGTATGGACATCGGTCTTCTTCTCCCCTGCTTTGGTCTCTGAAGAAAACACCCTCCTTTGTCACCTTTTAAACCTCCGACTTTTGACTTTTTCTGCTCTTCTTTCTTTCTTCCTTTCTTTCTTTCTTTTTTTCTTCCTTTCTTTCTTTCTTTCTTTCTTTTTTTTTTTTTCCTTTCCTCTCACCTTCCCTTGGCCCTGGTTATTGTTTGGGAAGTGGCCCCATGTACCTTGTCCCTGGAGGAGGTGTTGATGTCAGAGGGAAATCTGTGAACCAGTCAGTCATTGGACTGATGACAGGGAGGTCAGGCTGGTGGTCTGTTTGAACTTACTTGCAAGGCTGTTAGCTGGCTCTCTTAATGCCATCTCTCTCCGGATTGACACTGTGACTCAAAATCTGTCATGTGTTCTGCCGCAGAAGGATTCAGTCAAGGAAACTATTCTTTTCCTGAATCATCCAATTATGCAATGGCTACACGCCCCCTGACCCTTCTCCCACCTCACTGATCTCTAGCAGAAAGCCGAAGAGAGGTTAGAGGGGAAGGGACAGGTCCTCTGTGACTTGACTGAAGGTCTGGTAGGTGGAGCTTATCCTCCTCATCAGAAATTGTTACCTCAATAGGCTTGAAGGCATCTGCCCAGTCAGAGCTGGTGCCCTGGCGCCCTCTGCTGGTCTAGGCTTTCACACCTCCTGACCTGCATTTCTACTCTAGATTCAGTGAGATTCCTCCCGGGGCGTGTCTATAAACGGAACCTGTCCCAGTCTTTTGGTTGTCTGACACAGTGGTTATTTATGGAAATGGAAGCTCAAGGCCCAGTTAAAAGGAGAAAGACACACGGGTGTGCATCTATCAGTCCGTCCAGCCCTTGCAGTAGCCAACTTGGTCACGTGTCTGCGGGTTACTATTGAATAGCACCACCATTTACTAAATGCCTTTTCTGCTCCTCTCTCTTGGAGGACATTTAATACAGGGTATCTTCAGTGTGCATGTCTGTCTGTCTGCAAACAGGCTACCCAGCTGAAGGGAGCCTTCATTCAGAAAACTCCCTGTCTAAAGGAAGCAGGGCTCTTCAAGGAAAATGAGAGAGGATATTGACTTGCCAACATTGGCATCGGTGCTAAGAGAATCCTGGGGGTCTTCTCAGATCCCCCTCCCCAGCTGAGAAGGGAGATTCCTAAATTGCACCTCCAGGTGTCCACAGGTCCCGTTTTCTCTCTTCTTGACTTTTTCTGCCAGGAACTCCTGACACAATCTGTTGGACTACAGACTCCATCCAAAACAGTATTTTCTAATGCAGAACGTGAAATAATATGTGATGTCTAGAGAAACTAATTATGTTGAAAGTAGTTGTCAAAAACTAAAATACAAACTTGTGGTATGTAAGTGAATATGTTCTGTCAACATGTTAATCAGCAATAGCCACAAACTACAGACATAATGGCATGTGACCTGTGGTACAGCCATAATGAGGCATTGGAGGAGCTGTGATGTTCACTTTGACAAAGTTGTGGATGCTGTCGAAGCCTCTGGGGTCTGTCGCCTACATTCATAATGGAAAGAAATGTGGAAAGAAATGCTAAGTTTCCACTAGAGATCAGAGGAGATGTTAATGTTTTCTCTTCCAAGTTCATGATACTCTGAATTCTGTCCACAGACCCATTGGAGGTCAGTGGACCCCAGGTCCTGCTCTACAGGACTCAGGCTCCTAGAGAAATTGGGTCTCGCTCCCCTTGGTAGGGGGTCCCAGAGGAGAACATGAAGACCCAGATAATTAAGTGCTTCTCTCTTAAAGAGGGCTTAAGACACACATCAGGAGGGCTTAAGAGGAGTCAAAATATTAGGGATTATCTGTATTCATGCCAAAATGTAAAAACTGAATTTCTCAAATAGTTGAGAAATTCTCAGAAATGGTTTTCTGTCTATGTTGAATGTCGGAGCAGATTCTCTATCCTAATGTTAGCATATGCATACACACACACACACACACACACACACACACACACACATCGGTAGCATTGCACAGGAAATTCTGGATATAGAATGGTGATTCTTTCAACCCCAAAGAATCAAGAGCTTTCCCTTATTTCAGGGAACATGGAGACTGACTCAGAGGTATCAGATGTTAAGGCTAGAATGTGGTTAGTTCACTGATAGTTTGCTTTATAGGCTGGAAACAGGGGTTCAGTCCCCAACACCACACCACACACACACACACCTACACCACACACACCAAACACAACACACCACACACAACATACACACACTACACTCATACAAACACACACCACACCACACACACACACTACACACCACACACATAAACATCACATACCACATACACATACCACACACACATAACACACATAAACACACACTACACACCACACACACACTACACACACCACATACACACACACTACACACCATACATGCACCACACACATAAAAACATACTACACACCACACACACATTACACACACACCACACAGACACTACACACACACACAACACACACTAAACACACACTATACACCACACACACACACACCACATACACACACATACACTTCACAACATACACATACCACACAGATAAACACATATTACATACACACACTACACACCACACACACATAAACACATACATACACACACACTACACACACTGCACACCACACACACATAAATGTTAGTCACAACTTAATAACAAGACCACTGTGGCCTTTCTTCTTTTTAGATTGAATTTTTTCCATGACACCCCAGACTTCCGAGTTCTTGCCTGTGGTGGAGATGGGACAGTTGGCTGGATTCTTGATTGCATTGGTAAGAATGGCCAGGAAGGCCTTTATTTATTGTTTATAGTGGGGAAATTTAAAGTGAGCAGAAAGCAATGAACTAAAAAAAGAATGAAGCTGTGCCTTGTCCATCCAGGTGCCCACCCTTTTGTGTATAGATGCCTGATTAGATATGGAGGCAGGGGTGGGGGACAGGAAGAGATTCGTTGTAGGCTTTGTATTAAAAAACAAAAACAAAACCACATCTGTCCTGGACTGAGCTGGCCAGTAGCAGAATAAGACAGATTTGAAGCAGGACTAGAGATCCAGAGCACGGGATGAGTGAAGGCCAAGGAGCTAAGTGCAGGTCACAGCCCATGGCAAACCAGCTGAAGATGAACGCCTGGGACATGGGTCCAGAAAACATATCTGGAAGGTGCAGATCAGTGCAAACAGAGAAAGACTACGCTGAACTGTATCCTACCTGGAAAAGTCAAGGAAGTGGGCTGAAGAGCTGGGAGCCTGAGGTCTAGCCTAGCCCTGCCTGGATCCAGAAAGTGATGGAGATTATCTGTGAAATTTAGGGATAGGATATAGTCAAGACCTAACCCAAGCAGAACCCAGGTAGATTTGGCAAATTCTGCAATAGATAGCAGAAAGACAGAAAAGTTGCCAACAAAGGCACTGGATCTGTATTGTATAATGTGTGTGTATGTGTCTGATGTGTGTGTGAGATATGTATGTATATGATGATGTGTGAGTATATGTGTGATGTGTGTGTATGATGCATGTATGAGAGATGTTTATAATTTGTGTATGTGATGTGTATTGTATGATGTATGATGTATGTATCTGATGTGTGTGTGTGTGTCTGATGTGTGTATGTGAGATGTGTATGTACCTGATGTGTATGTGTGACATCAGTCAGAGAGGCAGGACAAGCCATGAGTCCAGGGCTGCTCTGCTCCTTCTGTCAGTCATCACACAAACACAGCCTTGAATCCCTATGAGCCAAGCCCTGCTGGAGTCTAGAGATGCCACCAGTGTCCTAACAGAACCTATGAGGCAAGGACCAGGCAACAAAGAAATGAGTGAAACGTATAGAACATCAGAGGGCAGTAAAAAGCAAGACGGGAGGAACAAAGGGAGTCTAGAGGAGGAGTGGGTTTGCAATCTGTGAGCACTCAGGGAAGAGCTCACAGGGAACAAAATGATGCTGTTTCCAAGAACTGGAGAATCAAGCTGTGTGGATAAAAGAAACAGCAAGGCCAAGGCCCTCAGGTAGGAACAGGTTGGGTTGCTGAAGGCAGACCAGCGTGGCCAAGAGCAGAGTACACACAGGAAGCAACACAGGGCTGAGGCAGAGGCAATGAGGTCACAAGAGTGGGTAAGGCATTAGGTAGAGCAAGGCTTTTAGCCTGGGACAGTCCCGAGACTCCAGATGGTTTTAAGGAATGTGGTGTGCTAATGACAACAGAAGCAAGGAGACCAGCTAAGAGGCTCCCACAGTGACCCAAGTGAGAGGTGACCAGGGCTGAGACACGGTGGAAGCCTGGAAACAGGAAGAAGTGAGGAGTGCATGATCCTGTATGTCTTCCTGGGGTGGGGGCAACAAGGTCTGCTGACATCTGGGACACAGTTGAGAGAAGGATTAGAAGAATCAAGGTTGGCCAGAACTAGACCCCAGCCAAGTCAGGCAGGGAAGGTGAGGCCTTCAGAGTGGGTTGGGAGAAGGCACACCAGCTACCAGCTGTTCCCCTATAGCCAGGCTTTGGTTCCCATGCCCACACACACACACACACACCAGATATATACATACACACACATATCACACACACCAGACACACACACATACACATCTACATATATCATGCACATATATGTCACACATACACATCTACACATAACATATATATATACACACATATATATATCACACACATATACATCAGGTACATACACATCTCACATACACATATCAGACACTCACACACATACACCAGATATATACATACACACATATCATATACATACACATCTCACACACACATACACATCTACATATATCACACACATACACATCAGGTACATACACATCAGACACACACATCAGATACATGCATCATATATCATACAATACACATCACATACACAAATTATAAACATCTCTCATACATGCATCATACACATACACATCACACATATACTCACACATCATCATATACATACATATCTCACACACACACACACACACACACACACGTACACACACACACACCACTCTGCTGCCACTGTAGACTCGGAAGTTTCTGGGAAGAGGAAAGACTTCCATCTAGCATCTGTGGGAGGAAAGGCAGCTCATGGCCGCAGTCTCGGGCTCTCCGCACCATCCCCTTAATTCCACTCATTGAGAGGAAACCCTTGGAGAAACATTATACAAAATTCCTCTGCAGAGAACTTTGGAGTCAGATATAGCTCAGAAAAGAGAAAGATGTGAGATGAAAGGAATGCTAGACTTTTTCATACAGAGTGATGGTTCAAAGAGAGGCCAGGGAGGAAAAGGGTGTAGTGTGAGCCTTCCCTCATTCATCATTTAAGGTGTGTGCCGTGATCGCCACCAACCCATTGAGGTTCTCACTCCCAGCTCCCCCACTTCAGCCATAACACTCTTAGCCTAACATCAGTGGGTTTGTGGTGTGCATAAAGACACAAGCGCTTCCTGCGGTTCCTTGGGAGATGATTCTCTTCTAATGAGGCCAAGGGCTGAGGTAGTTGAGTCACTGCTCTCCTAGTCTGGGGGTTCCAGTCACCCAGCCCTGCTCTCAGACCCTCCGATGCAGCCATCTTCCTCCACACAGAGAGCCTTGTCCAACTTCTCTTCCCATCTGGAGTGCTCCCCAGCCTCAACTGAAGTGTAGCCCCTTGCGATGGATGAGTGAGGGGCTCTCCTACACACCAGCCAGCCACCGTCACCCTGTAACAGGGCCATTCCCCTCCCTTTCCAGTAAAAAGGTACAATCGTACATATGTGTGCAAAGATCTCAGGCAGCATGTCTCCACTGCAGACTGTAGGCACCACGAGAGCCTGACCAGGGCTACCTCCCACCACATCTGGCGTATGGCAGGATTCAGTGGATCCAAGCGGAGATGCCATGGCAAATGAAACACTCTCCCAGGAAGTTACAGTCCATTCAGGGGACAAACAAGTGAGCAGTTATAAGAGAACATGACATGGTCACCATCCCTGATGCTCCAGGAGCATAGAAGAGTCATCAAGTTCAGGCCCAGGTGACAAGAGGTAGCTTCTTGCTGAGAAGCAGGAGTATTAGGACAGAGAACACTTCAGGATGGTTTGCTAGGAGGGCAGAAAGCTAAGTGTGCTGAGGGTCAAGGCTAGGAAGAAAGGCAGAACCAGGATCCAGAGACCTAGGCAAGCTGAGGAAGCTGTAACACTGGTAAAGCTGGCAGAATTCAGAGAACACACTAGGAGGGTGGACCTGGAGGCAGACAGAGGAAAGGAAGCTGTAGAACCTGAATAGTGTGGAGAAATCATCCCTGTACTCACTCAGTGTCTCCATGGGGATGGAGAGAAGTGGTTGCTGGGAAATCTGTTTCGGAGACAGCTCATAGGAAGTGCTGTGTGGGTGAAAGGGTTGAAGAAGATGGGAAAGTTAGGATGCCATGCAGATTTCTGGGCTCAGTGCTTCAAGGATGGCTAACCTGTCAAGGCAGCAACCACAGGAGAAGGGATAGACATAAAGAAACAGTTCACTCCAGGTGAATGCAGGGAGACTCTGGTCATATGTCAGGAACAATCAGAGAATTCATTGCATCATTCCGTTTTCCACCTCAGCCCATCAGTGGTAATCTCAGCCCTGAGATCAACCACTTCCAGCACAGGTCAGGTTACTAGTAGTGCTTCTGAACTCCCCTGCCAGGAAAGCCGGGTTTGAGCTCCCCACACTGATCCCTCCGGCCCTCCCTAACCCCCACTCATAGATAATATCCTGAGCATCTTATAGGGCAGGGTTTGAGTACATGTCCCTGAAAACCCAATGGATACCTGTACCTCCCCCTCCAACCTTCCCTGCCCTGGCAACACACTGAAGATTTCAGCAGACAGAAGCTCTATTGACTGTGATTTTTCCCTGACTGTTCTGGTCGCACTCCTACACAACCATGAAGGGAAAAGGAGTGGAGGTCTGTATTCTGGAAAGCTCAGGAGTCATGAGATAATAAACTGGTATGTGGGTGTCAGGTAACACCTGGAGGCTTTCCTACTTTAGCACAGTGCTGTTTCATAAGCTTTAAAATATAAATGACTGCCAGGCATTGGTGATGCATGCCTTTAATCCCAGCACTGGGGAGGCAGAGGCAGGCAGATCTCTGTGAGTTCAAGGCCAGCCTGGTCTACAGAGTGAGTTCCAGGACAGGCTCCAAAGCAATACAGAGAAACCCTGTCTCAAAAAACTATACACACACACACACACACACACACACTTGTCTTTCAGTGAGCTTTGTCAGTTTTCCAAAGACCTCCACCATTCCCTACCTACTTCCAGGCACACCTCTTTCACTATGCCCTGCTTAGCCCCTGAAGACTACAGGATGGGCTTGAAGCCAGAAAGCTGAGTTTGGATCCAGGCTCTGGAATCACTTTTCCTTCATAAACCTCCATCTTTGCTAGGTTGCTGTGGGCAGTAAACAGAAACAAATGTTGGTCGTCATTAAGTATTAAAATCGCATGAGCCAATGTTTTTGCGGTATGTGATGAACAGAATTGAGACATGTTTAGGATAAATAGGGGAAAATTATAGGGAGACTGATTTAGCTCAATATGAAGAATTGATTGACAACTTCAGCAAACTTGTAGCCGAGAACACATTGCAAATGCTGTGAATGACCTCAGCAAGTGGTGTGGTCTCCAATGCAGGAAGGATTCTGTGATTACAGTGGGGGGTGGGGGAGGCAAGCGACAGCTGGGGATGATAAGCTAATGCAGCCATCTGTAACCACATGGCATGTCTGTCCTTCATGTGGGTTGTAGATAAGGCCAACTTCACAAAGCACCCACCAGTGGCTGTCCTGCCTCTTGGAACGGGGAATGACCTTGCGCGATGTCTCCGCTGGGGAGGAGGTGAGTATGCATGCCGCTGATGTCACACAGGGTTTTCCAGGATGCTGTGCAGAGCCAGGGAGACTTACCTTTAACAGGTCACTTTCCACAGGACAATAGTGAACAGCAGTCATCTCTGACCCATGATTCTGCCATTCTATGCTGGGTCTGGAACAGGAGGCCCTGCTGCCAGGTTCCAGCCTCCTGCATAGTACTGAAGCCATCAGCTTAGAGCCGGCCCCCTCCAGCAGGACATGGTCAACCATAGATAGGATAAAGACAAATCTCCTCCAGCCCCTCCTGAGTGCTCGTCATGATACATGGATTCAGAATGCAGACTGAAATACTGCATCACCAATTACTCATGAGACACCAGGCACATCTGGATTATCAGGGCCCCCGGGGTATCAGGGCTTTCATGTTGAAGTGGAACACAGAATAGTGATGGCTTTTAGAGCAAGGGTCAAGGGCTTTGCAAACAAAGCAGCTAATGGAGCTGGGCAGAGCACAAAGCCCAGCCACTGGGGAAAGCCAGCAGGCAGAAGATCAGTAACTCCAGGCCAGGACAGTCAGTACCTGTGTTCTTATGTGGAGGATATGGCAGATGTCAGACCCAAGAGTCATCTTAGCAGTATGCTTACCACCACCCTGTCCACCTTCCACACACTACGGTCTTAGGATGGATCCACTGTCTTCCACACACAACTTCCCAGCCCTGCAGCTAACCAGTCTTCCCCTCCCATTCCTTCTCCCCTTCCTCTTCCTTTCTTCCAATTAGTGGTATATTTACTGTATAAAAGAATAAGTTTATTTAAGTCTTTCTCATACATGTTCATCCTGTTCTTTAATCTCTACAACCTATACCTTCTCCTGAACCACATCCTACTATCCCCTTCTTCTTCGAATAGTTTACTTCTGCCTTCATGTCAGGTGGGTGAGTAAGGGGATAAATGATGGAAGATAGATAGATAGATAGATAGATAGATAGATAGATAGATAGATAGATGGGGAGATGGATGGATGATAGATAATTGAGATATATGTAAACATGTGTTTAATTCCTATTCTACATATGAAAGAAAACAGAATACCTAAGTCTAGCTTATTTCACTTATAATAATTCTTAGCTCTATCCATTTCCTGCAAATGACATCAGCGCTCCCACTCTCTGGGGCTTGCTTCAGCTCCAGAGCCATGTGTGCCTCTAGCCAACTATCCCATTCCTAGCTCTCAGGCTTCCCACTCTCCCCTTAAAACTCTTGCTAATTACTCCCTACTGTCATCCCCTTCTCCCAGGCTCAGAGAACCTAAGTGTCTCCAGCCCAAAGACATCCAGAAGTCTTTTCATCACAAATGCCTAAAGAGTTACTTGCCCTGCATAAGCAACAACTTCACCTTTCCGCCCTAGTGACACACACCATGCCCTTGTCCATAGGTTATGAAGGGGGCAGCTTGACAAAAATTCTGAAGGAAATTGAACAAAGCCCCTTGGTGATGCTGGACCGTTGGTATCTAGAAGTCATCCCCAGAGAGGAGGTGGAGAATGGAGACCAGGTCCCATACAACATCATGAACAACTACTTCTCCATTGGTGTGGTAAGTTGGTCGCTGATTGCTTTTCTGGATCAACTGACCCTTCTGGGCCCCTACTCCTTGCCTGTTCGGGGTTGGGGTCTGCGCGTCCTCAAATCTGACCTGGTTGTGGCCACTCTGATTGCATAGTCATTCTACCCCTTGACAGTAGAAGAAATTAGAAATTCTTACCCTATACCTTTAACTAACAAGAAAAAAACTGGGAATTTTTTCAAATATATCTATCCTTCAGATAATATGAAATAATTAAAGGAAACAAATGCCAAGAAATAAGGTCAGGAAGAAGCCTTGTGTGAGTTGAGGATCTGAGTGTCTGGTCCTGGGGAATGACCACAAGTTCCCACCAGGCTTGGCAGACAACACTCAGACTCCTCCCCTCCTGCTCCCTCCCCCTCCCAACCCTACCACACATACTCCAAGTGCTTCCTACAGCCTAGGAGGGTTCTTCTCCCACTGTCACTCAGGCTGAGGCCACTGCTCCTCCTTGGTGCTTCTATAGCCCTTATCGAAGTCCATCCGTGTACTCCCTGCATTAGATTAAAGGGATGGCTTTAATGTGCCCGAATCACCCTTCTTCCCATATACAGGTGCATGCTTGCATGCACAGGTATACACACTCCATAGGCACACACGTTCACACACACACACACACACACACACACACACACACACACACAGATGGATAGACAGACAATGCTGTATGTGTTCCCTTTTGATCCTCCAGCCCCAGCCCAGCTAGTATAACTCAGTTTGTCCTACTGAAGTCAGCTCCTAGCCCAGAGTAGACACTGCTTCATAGATTGTTGGGGATATGATGAGTGGTTTTTTGTTTTTGTTTTTTTTTTTTTTATGTAAGTATGTACTTTGTTTTCATGTATGTCTGTGCCAGGTACAACAGGTACCCACAGAGGGCAGAAGAGGGCACTGGATCCTCTGGAACTAGTTACAGATGTGTGTGAGCCTCCTTGCAGGTGCTAGGGGTTGAAGTCAGTTCCTCTGGAATAACAGCCAGTGCTCTTGATCACTGAGCCCCCCCCCCCATCTCTCCAGTTGGAGTATTCTTAAACTGAGCTGGGGCTTGAGATGGCAGCACAGAAGACACTTTACTGAGCACCTGCTGTGTGCTCTCTACTGTGGGAGGCTTGTGCATCCCAGTCTCCATAGCACTCCTTTCACTCATTCCTATTTTACAGAAAGGCTTAGGGCTCTCGAAGAGGTAGACCGCGCACATGCTCTCTTAACACAGCCCTGCCAGCATCCCCTCATCTTCAGTTAGTCTACAGTCGGAGCATTCTTCCTTGCTGCCTCCCTGTCTTTGGATTGTTTTAGCCATGCCATGTGTACATGAGACCCTCTGGGCTCCTCTGGCACCAGACCGAGGGACACCTACCCCCTTTTTCTTGTGTCTCTTTTGAGACTGTTGGTGGTAAGGGAGTGGGGGTGGGGGATGGAGATGGGGCCTAACAGATAGCTTGAGGGGACAGCAGGTTTGAGGAAGAAGTTTTGAGAGAAAGGGACTGAAAAAATAACCATAGCTTACATTTACAAAAGGATGGAAGAGTTACCACATTTGCAGCATTTATTCTTTGCTGTTTGCTTTATTCCTCTGCTGCATGGGGGAGCATGGGCCCCTCCACTTTCTGAGTGAAGAAACAGGGTCAAACGAAGGGCTTTGCTTCCTCACTCCTGCTCCAGCACTCTCTGCTATGGCTGGAGCAGGCAAGGCATTGTGGGCCCAGGGTAAAACACTGTGAGTGTGGAGGTGGCACATAGGGGTTCTTGGGTCATAACTGCCTTATGCCTCTCCCCCACCCCAGATTCCCCACTTCCGGTAGAGGGACACATTCCCAGGATCTCTCTCAGGGCCACCTTCAGGGAAGGTGCAGTCATACACACATGAACACACGTGCATGCACGCGCGTGCTCACACACACACACACACACACACACACACACCTTTCTTATACTCAGGCCCCTCTCTTTCTTTGCCCAGATATCTTCATCTCCAGACAGTTAGGTACCCTTGCCTCTGCCAGGCTCCCAGAGTGTGGGCATCCCAGCGTCCGCTTTACCAAACTTCACATCTTTTCCTTGCCATAACCGTCATGTAACTTGCTGTCATGTAACTTGCTGGTGTTTATTGATTGCCTGTGGTGCACTCAGCCCCATTATACTATTGCATGATGCAGTTGTTGCATTTGTGTGAGTCCAAGCCAGTGTGTAGTGAACCTGGAGATCAGCAAATTGTGTTCCTGAGCCCTCTTAGCTGTGGCCTCTGCATAGCCCCTCCATCTTCAGGCAGAGCTCTGTGAGGGAGATGGCACTGCAGCACGCCTTCTTTAAAGGGAAATCCCACCCGGCACCAGATTCTGACTTGTAATTTGACTCCGTGGCTGGCTGGAAGCAAGGTCTGTGAGTCTGCTTTTCACTAGCCCCTGGAAGCATTCTGATGCAGATCCAGAGCAAGGCCTCCAACAGCAGAAACAGCACAGAGCAGAAATACAGAAAGGAAGTGGATCTGGCACTCAGACATTAGAACTGAAGTAATGAAGAGAGGGACATGAGAAAGAGACGACGCTGCCCTCATAAAAGCAGCCAGCCAGAACTGATTGCTAAGCAGCGGGACGGGCAAGGCTGCCCAGGAGCTTCCGGGTGGCAGGCTACAAGCATGGCTACTTTCAGAACTTCAATACACCTTCCCTTCCTTAACACAGCTCTAGCTGGAAGGAACAGTTCCCAGTGCCTGTCTGCCTCTACACAGGCACTTCTCTCAACTCCATACCCAGGCTGTAAACATAAGAGCCAGGGATTTAACGAATTCTTTCAGGAGGAAGGCCAGCAGTAGAGGGGACAGGGAAGGAAGTCGTGAAGGAGCAAAGGAACCAAGGAGAGGAGTAGGAAGCAAAGAGGTTAATTGCCCTCCAAGGAAGCATAAAAACCATCACCCTCAGCAGCCAACATGTGTACCCACCTGCCCTGAGTTGACCTGCAATATTCCAAGGGTATCTTTCTCAAAGTTCTTCTCATATACCTTTCGCTTGTGCATATTTATTGTCATATTGTAGATGAGCAAGGAGGTGGGACTTTCTATCTCGCTGTCGTGCCCTTAGCTTTCTCTACAGAGAATGTTTGCAGGGTGTGTGTTCTCGCTCTTTAAAAGCTGGAAGGTGAAAATCCTGAGAAAACAAGTACCCAGCACGCAACCCTGGCAGAGCCTGGGGCTGACATTTGCAGAAAGTCTTGCTTCCTATTTGACTTCTCAAACTTTGTGGGAGAAGTAGGTATGTAAACCAAGCAGGTTCTACCTCCTATGGCACTTAAATATAGTCAGACTTCCCTGGCAAGGAGACATCTGCAATGTCTTTGCCTCTTGGAAGAGCTTGCAATGTCTACTGATCAAATGGCTGCTGCTTTGCAACTACAAAGAAGATGGTTTGTGCTACCGCCACGCCACCGCGGTGCCCCTGGGTACAAACAGAACTCATGTACTAGGCAGAGGGTTGAGTGAGACAGACTCTCCCAGCCTTCCCTGGGAAGGCTCAGTGCTCAGTGCTATCACATACCCACTCACGAGCCAGATCAGTGAGGACTCAGCTATTTGTTTTTATCATTCTCCTATCCGCAGACATCCCCTGGGAAGAGGTCTTAAACACAGTCATCCAGAACATCACTTCCTCTCACTTCTTTGGCATCTTCCTCCCTGCTCTCTATTTTTGGATTAGCTGGAAGGTCAGGATAGCCAGGTATCGGTGACAGGAAGTTAGGGACTACGAAATAATTCCTGGAGCTTGTGTAACTCGGAACTCCTCACAGGCTCTGCTTTCAATGAGTCTTAACCGAGTGGTGAACAGCTAATCCCTTGACTCAGTGAAATCTATTTTGGATGGCAGAGGGCCTCAGGCCCACGTGCCATTTTTCACCTTATAGATTGGTTTTAGTGTTCCCCTGCCTTATGTCCCACAGTGGCAAGCCTCCCACCCACTAGGGCGGATGTCAACAAGACAGATACCTGTAAGCTTGGATTCTGTCAGTGGTGCATTCTAATGTGTCCCTTGATAAGCCAGCCATATCTTTCCCACCCCCTTACCTGCCATACATGTTTTTTAAAAAATCCAAATTTCAAATAATTCATCCTGTGGCCTCCTTCCAGTGTCTCCAGAAGTTGACAATGTGACTTAGCCCTGTACTGTCCAGGATGGCAAGCATAAGCCACATGTGCCTACAATGTGCCTGAAATGCCTTGTCTAATTTAAGATGTGTGCAAGTGTCAAAAAACACATATTTCAAAACTGAGATACAAAAAATTTAAATATAGCAATAATTTTTATATTTTATATTAGAAATTATAAAGTTTGGGGCATGTTGAATTATTAAAACATTCATAAATCAATTTCATCTGTTTCTTTTTACTTTTTTATGTGGCTTCTAGAAACTTCTAAGTTACAAACATGCTGTGTTTCTATTGAACAGCACCTGGCCTAGACATTCCAGTATTTCAGAGATCAAATGATAGCAATTTATGTTTGAAAGTGAGCCAAAATCCTTCATCCAACCATGTGTTTGAGGTTTTGGCTGCAGAAGGAGCAGCCCTTGTCCATACTTCATCTTCTCCCCTTCATCCCACGCCACATAGAACACACACCAACCGGAGACTAGCAGAAATCCCATCGCGTCTACCAGCCTCCCATTCCTGTCACTCTCTCTAGAATGAAGTGTGACTTTGCTGTGATCATCAAGAAAGTTTCTGAACCCATAAAATAAATATGCTATGGTCAGTGCTCAGCACAGAGCCTCTGAGAGTAAAAGCAAGTCTCAGTTCTCTCTATCTCCGGGAGACAAACAGGTCAGAGTCTTTACAATGCCTTTTAGAAGGCAGCTTAGCTCCCCTTGCTGTTTCATGTATTTGTCAAGAGATTACACTGTCAGATTAGGAGCCACATGCTGAGCTAAGGATATTGTAAATGCTGGCCTTTGGAATAAGAAGCCACACAAAACTTAGTAATGGAAAAACCAAGGGTGATATGTTGTGGGGGCATTTGTACATCACGTGAAGATGTGTTGCCATGATTGGCTTAATCAAGAGCTGAACAGCCAATAGCTAGGCAGGAGATTTAGGCGGGCCTTCCAGTCAGAAAGAGGATGTAGGAGTCGATAATGGAGGTGCAGGAACGATGCCAGCAAGACACAGGAGGCAGTGGGACAGAGAAGCCACTTGGTGAAATGTAGATTAATAGAAGTGGGTTAATTTACGTTATATGAGCCAATTAGAGACAAGCCTAAGCTATAGGCTGAGCTTTCATGATCAGTAAGAAGCCTCTATGTCATTTGGGAGCTGGTGGAGCAGAGAAAGACGTGTTAGAGTGACAAGAACAGAGAAAAGTGTGCCTGCAATATTCTGGGAATTAAAACCAAGAGCTCGTCCCAACTGTACAGGGGGTAATGGCAGCGGTGTACAAACCATGCCACACAATGTATGGATGTTTGCTTTGGGGTTTTTTGTTTGATTTTGGTTGGGGGCATGTTCTGTTTTGTTTCTGACAGGAGAAAATTGGTCCTTCTAAGGAACACAGATGGAACGCTTTCTGGAATTCTAGAAGATCATGTGACAAATGTCACATGTATCTTATCAGGAGTGTTCCTGGAAACTTGCTGACAGACAGACAGGGAGGTGGACAGGGGGGTCTGGACTAGGAAGAGCTGCTGCCCAGAAAAGCTGAGTAGGCAGGCTGTGTAGGGCCAGGGGTGGGAGGGGCCTCCCTGAGTGTTAACACCTCCCACAATGTGTCCACAAAGGTGACTCTGCCCAGACCTTCAGCTCCTGAAGAGTCTGAAAATGACAAGAATAAACCAGTAGCAAAACTTTAACCATTAAACTCCAGAGGAATGTTTACCAAACACAAAGTAAGCTTAGATGTGCCCTCCCAGACTTGGGTCACCCTTGTCCCTACCGAAAACTTCATCACACACAGGATATACCCCAAAAGCTTCTTCAGTGAACTGCATTTGTCTCTCTTGATGCTAAAAACAAGGTAAAAGTCAGCACTAGAAATGTTCTATTGTAGAGTTTCCTTGTCAGGTACAGGATATGCCCTACATGGTGGCACTCACCATTAATCCCATTGCAAGGAAGACAGAGATAGGAGAATCTCTTTGAGTTTGAGCCCAATAGGGTCTACTAGTAAGTTACAGGCCAGCCTAAATCACATGGTAAGAGATTCTCTCAGAAAGAAAGGAAGAAAGGAAAGAGGGAGAGAGGGGAGGAAGAAGAGAAGGAGAGAGAAGAGGAGGGAGGGAGAGAGGGAGGCAATGAGGGAGGTTAGGAAGGAAGGGAGAATATACATTAGCTTAAATTTGCTACGTGGAATTTTAGGGATCTTTCAGACACATAGTCTAGTAGATGTATTTTTGGTTATTTATTGGGTTTTGGTTGGTTGGTTTGGTTTGCTGAGATACAGTCCAGTCCCACCTTGTAGTCCAGACTGGCCTTGATCCTCCTGCCTCAGTCTCCCCCACATGCTCAGACTGTAGGCATGTACCACCATGTCAGGAGATTTCTGTTTCGCTGTTACTCCTGAGCAAGTCTTAGTCAGCTCATTGTTTCTGGGCTGTACCTCTCCAACCCAATCTGCCAATTTATTTCCAGTGTTCCATATCTGCCCCCGCAGTGTTAGATGGGGACTGGGTGATAAGTGAACAGTACATACTCTTCTGCTAGAAAATGGGCTCAGTAAGAAGCTTGGAAGACTAGGCCTGAAGGAGATTGAGCCCAGCTTTGGGTCCTGCACTAGACCATGAAACCTGCAGCATCTAAACACTAGTCACAAACACAAGCCCTCAGGGTGGCTGTGAGGGGAGTGTGAGATGCAGAACCTCAGGACTAAGAGGTTCCAAACTCAGGATGAGACACATGGTGTCCTGGGAGCCTCACGGTGAGTTCTGAGGTACAGTTCTGCAGTACAGGAAGCCTAATAGTGCAGCCAAAGAGGGAGAGAGGAAGACGTCAAGTGTAAGGAAGGGGTCGGAGATTCTTGCTGGCTCCAGAAGCAGCCCTGTGCACAGAATGGTTAATAAGCAGAAGCTAGAAGCTTAATACAATTTTATTGTCAGCTAAACTTGTGACTGGCACAGACAACAAAGGGTTAATAAGTAATGGCCTCCACCAGCATCAGCTGGGTTTTGACAGGGGCTGTTATATAAGACGCTATCATTGCTAGAAGCTGAGTAAATGAGGAAAGTACTTAAAAAAAAAAAAAAAAAAAAAAACTTCTCGTGAGTCAGAATATTCCCTATTTTATGTCACTACCATCCCTACAGGCTTCTGGCTTTACCGGAGCAGACCCCCTCACTGTCCTGGAAAGGGAGTGGCTTTCCCTTCACCCTAGAGTCTCCTCTTGCCACAGTCTCCAAAGAGCTAGGGTAGCAGACTGAACTATGGCTGTTTGCAGGTCCTGAGAAACAGAGATAATTCACAGGGCCCACTGGCAACCAAGCCAGGCTCTAAGAGGACTGAGTGCTGGCACTAGCTTACCCCAGGACATGGTGTGTGACTTGGAGTCTCCAGAATTTGGACATTCCCATGTGTCCCTTCCCACAATATCTCATGACCACAACCACTAACCAGGCTTCTGCCTCCTTTTCTTTCCAGGACGCTTCCATTGCACATAGATTCCACATGATGAGAGAGAAACACCCCGAAAAATTCAACAGCAGGTAAGCGAGCATGCGAGCTGCTGCGGTGGCACCCCGCCAGCCCAGTACTGCCAGCAGTGTGGCCTCCCACCTGCTGCCACGGAAATGTCCTTCCCCTGGGTCGCCCCGGACTTAGCTTTCCTGCCACGTTGCCGGAAGGAGGGTTTCCATTTCTAACAAGAAAAAACTGTCAGAAACCTGCCACAGCCTGGCTGCCGGTCCCCTCCCATAGGAACTGAGCAGAGGGAGGAATTTGAGGAGCGCATGGGTGGCAAGAAACCTGCGTTTGGCCACCTGGAACTTCTCCAGGGACTCAGAGGTTTACCCCAAAAGCCCAGCTTCCCACAGCTGCCGGGGCTAGGGGAGAGAAGGGCTTTTCCGGGGTCTCAGATCGGGGAGGTACGAGCCTCCCTCCCAGACAGCAGAGGGCAGCAGCGAGGCCCCTGCAAAGGCAGTAACTCCGGAGTGCACCGGGTGGCCTCCAATGGGAGCTGGCATCCTGGAGGTTGGGTTCAAACATGAAAGAAAAGAGAAAACCAAATCAGTTGAAAGCGAACCTGTCTTGCAAAGCAAACATAATTTACCAGAATCGAAATGTGACTGGCATACAATCACGGTGGAGTTGTCCACTTTCCTTTTCTCCATTTCTCTCTCTTCTTGACAAAGCTCTATCCAGCTTTATCCTCTGTTGTACCGTTTCATCAAGATCATCATTGGATTCCATGCCCAGCCTCAGGCAGGTGGGGAACAGCGGAGTAACAATCTGGACTTGATCTTTGAACCTAAAGGGATAGTCATGTATTTTGCCCACAGAATTCTCCTCAGAGCAGAAGTTAGAGTATTATTACTGATTCCACAGCCTAGGAACTTAACCAGGGAGGCTTGACACAGTGAACTGCTTTAGGGTTGCATTCTGTCTCACTTAGCCTTAGGCCCACAACTCACTACAGACATGTGCTGCCTGTCAGCTCCTGAAACCATAGTCACCGTCTGGCAATGCCATCCCCTCCCTCAGCCTTCATTACTCCTATACAAGGATGAAATCCCTATTCATAAATTGCTACACATTTTTTTATTAAACTATTTACATTTATAGTGGAAAAGTGGACAAGCTTTAACATTTTTTAAAGTCAAATACAAATCTATTAACAAGAAGAAAAGATGACAGGCACAAAACCCAAGTGATGTTCTGCCCAAAGCTTGTGGTCATTGATATTGTGGCTGAAAGTGACAAGACGTGCCCTGATTGAGCTTGCACCCTGAGCACGTGTGTGCAGTAGGCTCAGGTGTAAGGAGCTGGTATACATAGTGGAGAGAACCTTTTGTCTCCCTCAACGAGGCTGCGAAGTCCTGAGAGCCCAGATGTCCTCACACTAGGTCATTTTACATGACTGTTCTGAAGCTTTTCTTGTCACTTCAAGTCTTTTTCTGAGGTGGCCTTGAGTTCCACCACTGGGTAGGACAGGATGTAGGTGGTGGCCTTTTTGAGAATAACTCCTTTGGAGGCTTTTTCATTGTGCTCCAACTCGGATCTGGTAGTACAGGGCAAACTTTGGTTTCAGCTCCTTCCTTCCTTCCTTGATGCTCTGAGATGTTGTGTGTCTATCTCTCCGTAGTTCCCTCTGTGTCTGAGGACCTGGGCTGGCATTGTTACTGATATTTCAGTACCCTACCAGTGCCTGACTGCCCTTCCGTGTAGAAGTGGTGTTCATAAACGAACAGGCGGCCGCTCTCGATGACCCCTTGGGCTATGTGGAGGTGTACTGTGGCCTCTTCAGGAGTGGGCTCTGATTTGGGCCTTTTGGCAGGGAACTGCCTCTTTCCCACACAAATAGTATCAGTTCCATCCTCATCCTCTTGTCCTTCCCCTCCACAAAGACTAAACTCCTCTCTTCTCCCAGAAAAGTGGATGCTTATCCCAGCAAAACAGCAGCCTTGAGATAGCTTTTGGAAAAACACTCTTGCCATCCTACAGATGCTCAAGGTCTTCTTTATGCACATACCCTTGCAAGTCCTCAAGTCCCTAGGCCTGTGGATTCCATGGGTTGTGCTCATTCATTCATTCACTCATTCACTCACTCACTCAGCAACATCTTTTGAAAATATACTGCAGACCACACAACATTATATGAGTTTGAGACTGATGGCCATCACTCACTGCCCCCTGCTGGCAATAGGCTGAAGAGCAAATGTGTACCAATGTGAGTGAAATGATGTGAGCAGAGGGGACCTAAGAGAACAAAGAGCATGGAGCTAGTCATGGGGAGTTTTCTAATGACAAAGATGCCCTGCCCAGGTTAAAGAAATCAAGCACATATGTTACAATTTGATAAAAAGAGAAGGGCAGTCCGCAGAAAAAGAACAAGATGTATCAGAAGATAAAGACTGTGTTTCCGAAGAAGCAGCCCCCAGTGCAGCTGTTGCATGGTCCCTTGTAACAGGAAGGAAGGTATTTCTGTCATTTCAGAGAACAAGGAAGTAGAGGACAAAGTTTCTCCCTGTTCCAAAAATTGAGAGAGAGCAACATGTGAGTGGAAGTGAGCATCAGAAAACCCATGTTATTAAGTCCAATTAGAAAGACAGATGGGGGGGGGTCATAACGTGCACCCGAGTGTCGAGTATCTTGCCCTGTAGAAGTCTTTCCCTTCTCACTCCCCAAATCCCATTTACAGGACTGACAGATTTGGTGAGGTTAGGAGCCTCTTGTTTCACCCAGTAAAGATGACAGGCACATGGATTTGAATTCAAAGCTACGTGCTTGCTTGAGAAATGAAGTTGTTCAAAGGGAGATACTGTTTTATGAAGTCACTAGCCATTTCCTCTGGAGAACTCTGGGTCCATGCTGCTTCCGCCTTTCATGCCTTTATCCAAAATACCCAGGAGTATTCACTTTGTCCACCCAGAGGCAGGCAAGCAGCCATTTTCTCTAGGCTTCCTTATTTAGCATTGGAGATGGTTTTAAATAGGCAGGTGGTTGTTGCCATGGTTACCCCCATTACACCAGCAGCTAAACTTAGGAAGGGCCATGAGGGAGAGGGAAAAAAGCCTGATACCCAGGATTTGAAAATGTAAATGATATTATCAAACAAAGCTTTGTTTTACTGGGATGGACTTAAGTTCTTCAAAGAGTGGTTGCTGCTTGGCTGCAAGCCTTTAGCATTAATGCCTAAGACTGGCCCCTCAGGGATAACCTTGAGGCTAAATATAGGGAGTTGTAATTGGTCTGTTTGTTTTGTTTGTTTTCAACAAGAGAGGACTAGTCAGGGCTGGACTTGCCCAGGAAACCTGAACTTTCTTTCAAATTGCTAGTCAGCTTGGGGGCTATTCTAGTAAATCTTAACCCAGGCTCCAAAGGCTTCAGGGGTTCTGAGAACATTTTGAAATTGTACCAAAAGCACTCTCTCTCTCTCTCTCTCTCTCTCTCTCTCTCTCTCTCTCTCTCTCTCTGTCTGTCTGTCTGTGTGTGTGTGTGTGTGTGTGTGTGTGTGTGTCCTAAAAGGCATCAAATTATGACTCAATTGTTGAGGTCTCTTAATGCTTCCCTCAGTGAACTCTCTATACTAGTTGTTGCTAGAGAAAGTAGTAGTTTTAAATCCAAGTGTTCTCTCTTAAGGAATAACTTTGTTAATGGAACAAAAGTCAGACTCAAGGAGGTGGTAGTGTGAGCTATCTCAGTCAAGTTAGGCCCCTTCTTCCACCTGGTTATTGTTCCTGATTTAGCAATGTCGAGAAAATTATCATATCAGCATACAGGACACAGAGTTTTAACTCTGCTGAAATTCTAATATGTTAGAACGTGTTCTAGTGTACGTGAGACATGATCTCTGACTTTAAGAAATTCACACACTAGCCAGGCATAGTGGCATGTGCCTTTAATCCCAGAACTCAAGAGGCAGAGGCAGGTGGATCTCAGTAAGTTTGAAGCCAGCCTGACCTATGAGTTCTAGAACAGCCAGGGCTCTGTAAAATAAAATGAAAGAAATTCACAGTCTAGCAAAGAAGGGAAAATAACCCTCAAAATTTTTACATTTTGTACAAAAGGAATTTACACTTAGTAAGCCATGGGCAATACAAGCAGTGGTTCGGTGCATTCAACATTTTAGCATCACTTCTTGAAGCTCACTCACAAGCAGACTGGGGTTTAAGTGTAGAACCCAAAACAACTCAGATTTATGATTCATTCTGAGCTCCTGCTACATGCCAAGTAGTTAACTAGGTATCTTATAATGCATTAAATTATTTAATTCTCAAGACGACCTTACAATGTGAGTGTTGGCATTCTTGAATCGTGATTCTCTGGGACAAGGAAACAGCCTTGGAGAAAGTGATAGACTACCTTTTAAGCAGTGAGCTTGATTTAATTTCTTAATTACCTTGAACTCGAGTTCAAGCCCCACTGTTCTCCAAGGACTTGTTTGCATAGATCAGTGTTCTAGTGTTTCCAAAGCCTCCTAGGGACTTTGCACGTGACCCCATTCTGTGTTCATTATAACAGATAAGGGAGAGTGCTCTTGTTTCCATTTTAGAGATAAAGAAACCAAGGCTAAGGATGATGGTGACATTTTTGTTGAGTTAGGGAGTACAGGGACATCACCCCTTTTGATCTCATATAATCTAAGTCTTCTCTCTACTCCATTGTCCACAGCAAGGAGCAGGACTGTCTATAGGCTTTGGCACTGAGCAAAATTAAAACATACAGTCCCTTGTTCAAAAACTATTAAGAAGTTTGTGATCAAGCATTAAACTAAGCCAAGATCTGTCCTAAGTGCAGGGCCTGGAATGACTGCACAGGTATCATGCCTATGAGGTGACCGTGGCAAAAGAGTTGAATTCATTAAAAGCCTCATTTGTCTGGATCACAGAGTAAACAATTTACAAAAGAGCAAAGAAGGTTTGAACTTGGGAGGAGAGGAATTCTCAGTTTTTTAAAGGTGGTCAGTGTGTACAGAAAAGAGGACCCTACCCAGGTCTTCTAGGTAGCTAACCACAGTCTTCACCAAGTTTCCACACCATCTGGGAAG